ACCTTTGCATGTGAATGCCTCATAAACCCAGTCTGAACTTCCTGTAAGCTGGTCCTATGTGTAGAAGGAGAAAACATTAATCAAAGGAGGCCAAATCTCTGTCTCTCAGACCCTACTTCATAGTTTCCATATGAGCAAACATCTCTTTTTTTTCCTTCTGTTATTATTAGGGAGGTGACTCTTCTGTGAGAATAAGAGCAAGATGGGAAAAAGGAGAGTGAGTGGTGTGTGTGTGTGTGTGTGTGTGTGTGTGTGTGTGTGTGTAGGTGTATGCCTGCACATGTGTGTTTAGAGTTGAGAGGAGAGGCTGTGGGTCCTTGGATGAATAGAATCTACTTATAATACAAAAAAAAAATTCATGGAAGACGAGTCTATAGGATGACATCAGGGAATATACAGGAAGGGAAAAGGAGTCTTGAGGAAGACAAATCTCCCTGCTTTCCACTGTTTACTCAGTAAGCTGCTAGGACTCAGGATTATGCTAAAAGTTGGTCTGTAATCCTTGAGGCAATCTCTGTATTTACTTGCTGAGTACCCTTCTTTTCTTCATTCCTATCTCTTCTGATTTTGCCTTTTTGCTCATATTTTTAGCTTTGCCATTATGTCTGGTCTCCAAGCTCCTGTGAACTTCTCACCTCTTCTTCTAATGTGACAATACTGTCTTTTTAGTCTGTTTATAGGCAATCCAAACAAAGTTTAAATACTTTAATTCATTTTTTGGACTAGAATAGTTTTCAGTATTTATATTCTTTAAAACAAATGTCTTAAAGTAGTTGTATTAATATTGAAAGATCACAATTGAAAGTCTCACGCTTCCTAATTTTACTCATCTCAAAGCTTTAGTAATCAAAATATTGTGATACCTAAAAACAGATATGTAGACCAGATAAATGAAACAGAAAATAAAGAAATAAACTCCTGCATATATAATCAAATGATTTTTAACGAGGACACCAAGGTCATTCAATGAGGAAAGATTCTGAACTATTAACATGCATAATATACAGAATATAAGTCAAAATAGATCAAAGACGTCTTGAAAAAAAAAAAAAAAATCAAAGACCTTAACATAAGATCTAAAACTGTAAAACTATTAGAAGAAAACATGGGAGAATTTTTTTTCCTTTATTTAAATTAGAAACAAGTTTCTTTTACATGTCAATCTCAGTTCCCTCTCCCTCTGGGTTCTTAGTCCATCTTCAAAGGGTTTAGAGTTTCATTTTTTTTTCAAGATTAAAATGTTCTAGAGATTGCTTGCTCAACAATATAAGTATGCTTTAGCACTGAATCTGCCAACTAAAAAGTAGTTATTATTGGCCTTGGGAGATGGCTCAGTAAGTCTAGTGCTTGTCTGGCAAACATGAAGGCCTGAGTTTGGGGTCTAGAACCAAGATAAAAAAAAGTCAGGCATGGTTGAACACGATTATAACACAAGAGTTTAAGAACCAGAGACACAAGGAGGCCTGGGACTTGCTGGCTGGCACACTGGCTAAATTACTCCTTGAACTCTAGGACAGTGAGACTGTATCAAAGGGCAGAACAAGTGTAGCATCCCAGAGGAACCACACCACATTCATGTTTACCCTTTGGCCTTTGCACTTAAACATGTGTATGTGCTTGCATGAATGCATATACACACAAACCTATACATATGTTCATACCATCATAGTTACGGTGATTTCTTAGCATATATATTTTATCATAGGAAGATTAAGAACACAGATCTGATAAAAGTAGTGATTAGATTTTGTTCTTTTTCAAATAAATCTGTCTTCTAATCCTACCTTTATCATTAATATTTAGTAAATGCCTCTCCTTATGATAAAGGCCATATTTACTTATCAATTAATGCATACCTGTATCTATACATTTACTGTGGGGACTAAATAAGAAAACATTATTTGTTTTGTACTTTGTACAAAATTTCGTTCATAAAAACACTCAACAAATTTTGGATTCCTTTTTTTTACATCTTCATGAGTGCACAATGGTGAGCCCAACTGGACTGTAATGGAAATGTGGTTTATATAGAGACTTTCTTGTCTAAAATCAACAACACATGCCTTGTGGTTTCTTCCCCACCATTTAAAGGATCAGTATGAAGTTGATCTCAGATTCTACTGGCCAGTGACATTCTGTAGCCATTTTTGGTACTTCCCTTGGCATCTCCTAACAAACCTCAAAACTGTGTTAGCAAGAAACAACCATTTTCCTACAATTGTTCTGACAAAATCAGTGTATTTTTATTTTCAATAAGGATGAGGGGTAGAACAGACTAATTTACATGTACTGTCAACATGCTGCCATTTCTTCCTATGGCTGCTATTTTTCAGTTCATCTCAGAAGCTTCCATTATGATGTGTCTTTTGTTGGGAGACTCCAGTGTCTCTCTCAGTCCTCAGCACTCTCAGGATCCTCAAATGGTCAACACCGGCAGTCAACATCAAAGTTGGTACAGTACAGTGTGTGACCTATTACCATGGTGCCATCTCTTCCATGCTTAGGCCTACAGTAGAAGGGTCAGACACAGCACAAAGTGTGGCTCTGTGCTGTTCAAGGAAGGTTGGTCAGAGGAGAAAAGAAGACAAGTAGATAAATGTGAAACTGAATTTCTGTGATAGGTATGGAACAAGTAAAAGGTAGTCGAAGCCTTTTAAAAAACAACATAAAAATGTTGACTTTATTAGCCAGGGAATTCTGGAAATTCTAAAATTTCCAAAGTCACTTTACCACAAATAAATAAATGATTTCATATCTTCACAGTCTCCTGAGTATTTCCCCCTTTATGACTCAGGGGCTCAACTAGTTTTTGCCATTCAACATTTTTTTTTGAAATACTATATGTTATTATTTTGAAATACTGTATGTTATGAATCAGGATAATGGAAACATTTTTCTGGATGGGTTTATCAGTTCTGTGTCTAGAATTGCTTAGAGGGGCTCAGTTAACTGATGTCCATGACACACACAGCATCTTGTATTCAAATTCTCTAATTATATTCCCTCTTTTTGAAGAAGATAACCTCCTATCATATTTTTAAAGTATTGATTTATGCTACTCTCATCAAGTTCCTCATAAGAGAAGTCTACAAGCACAAAATTTGGCTTCATCTTGGTGCTGGGGAAACAGTCTCAGGAGAATTTTGGAGCCTTTGCTTACTCATGCAAGTGGAGAGACTTGAGAGATGTAATGATGTCTGACACTCATGTGTCCTGCCATCACCCCTCTTTTTCTGAAGCTTCTTCCATTTTCCTTTTACTTGTTTGATTTTGCTCCATCTTTTCTTTACTAATCAATGCAAATACATTAAAAACTTCCTCAATGGATATTTATTAGTTTCTTAAATGAACTACAAGCTGTTTTTAATGGCTACAAGGTCTAGAGGTGTGAGAAAACCCAAAAATCCTTTATTGCTGCTATTCTTTTGCTAGTCACTTGTCCAGGCACACCACAGCATCCTTTTTCTGGAAAGTCCCCTCTGCCTGCAGGTGGCACTGACCACCTGTGTCATATCCCTGAATCATAACCTGAGATGCATACCTCAGTGTTACATTAATGTCATGGTTTACTCTTACTTTCTCCTATCACCTGGCCAGTTACTAAAGGGAGAGGGATGTCTGCCTGTCTCCTGAGTATCCCTATGCCTGGCAATGGGACACTTAGATACTTTTGAGTGTGTGACTTGATATTGAATAGATGAAAGTTCTGCCCAATGAAAGGCAAGGTTGTCAATATTATCTCCCAGTCCACTTTGAAAGTAACAGAGGAGAAATGAGTGGTTTTTTACTGGGTGATTCTTACTGAAGATTTATTAAGCCTTTTTATTTCTAGGGATGAACTTGCAATGGTTTCTGCAGGAAAGTGACGGTCTGGAGATGCTGTTTTTCTGTTATTGTGAACTTTTTATACTATGTAAATTTTTGTCTTTTTTTCAGATTTTTTATTTAAATTAGAAACAAGCTTGTTTTACATGCCAATACCAGTTCCCTCTCCCTCCCTTCCTCCCCTGCCCCTTATCACCAACCCCTTATCCCATCCCCTTTCTGCACCCGAAGGAGGTTGATTTCTTCCATGGGGGATCTTTAAAGTCTGTAATATCATTTGGAACAGGGCCTAGGCCCTCCCCTATGTGTCTAGGCTGAGAGAGCATCACTCTATGTGGAATGGGCTCTCAGAGTCCATTCCTATACCAGGAATAAATACTGATCCACTGCTAGAGGCCCCATAGGTTGCCCAGGTCTCCTAACTGACACCCACAATTGGGGGTCTGGGTTGGTCCTATGCTGGTTTCACAGCCATTAGTCTGGGGTCCATGAGATCCCCTTTGTTCAGGTCAGAGGATGTGGAGAAAGGGAACACTCCTCCACTACTGGTGGGAGTGCCAACTCACATAGCCACTTTGAAAATCAGTTTGGAGGTTCCTCAGGAAAATGGGAATTAGTCTACCACAAGATCCAGCAATTCCACTCTTAGGCATATACCCAAAAGATGAACATTCATACTGAAAGGGAAAAATTAATAAAAGTTTAAAACTTGAACTCCAAAGCTCAAATAGGAAAATACTTAAGCTTCTCTGAGTTGCCAAAAGGCAGCCCAACAGACAAGGTTAAACATAGGTCCACATGACTCAAGGCCTTAGACCAGATATCACAACCTTAATCTGTGTTGACATTCCTCTAGTCCAAAGAGGATCAGATAGTTATCAATTGTAGAAGTCCCCAGCCCAGGAGATCATTAACAAACTCATTTCCTCTGCAGCATCTTGCTTAATTGCACCTTGCCTGAAGCATACAATCATTGTCCCATCCAGTGTAACCAGGGAAGTTTTGTGATCTTGGGGCTTCCAGCCCTACAATTTTCCCCTATAAAAACACCCCTCAGTTGAAAGTGGGTACTCCATTTGTTCCTGAATGAATGGGGTCCTTGCTGCAGCTGAAATCCTCAAGTCAATAATGAAACCTTTGTCTTTGCATTCGGTGAGTTGTCTCCTTGGTGGCAGGTTCTTTTGGGGTTCTGCAATCTGGGCACAACATTTGGAGCATTGTCTGGGAACCCCAACCCCTGCCCCCCAGGAACCGGAGTTCTGAAGGTTTTGTTTTTCAACTGATTGGTGAGTGTGTTTTTGTGTCTGTTGTATTTGTTAATTGTGAAAATGTCCTATGTTGGGAACACTAGCAAGGTTGAGGGGACTCCCCAATCCCTTGTTTAGGGCAGATATTTGGGTGGCAGCTTCCGCGGTCTGTAAGAAGGGGGGAAGGGGGCCTAGGGTCGCCCGGTCTGAAGGAAAGGGTCATTTGGCCTGCCATCTGAAGATTCTTACAAGATTATAGGGGCCCTAATCTATCTAGTCTGAGTTGCTGTGCTGTGTGTTTGTACTGTGTGTTATTATTTTTCTTTCTCTCATTAGTTGGTTCCGGGACCAACAGGGGATCCATCTACCAACCCAGTGGTCATTAATGTCCTTTTCTCATCCACCCAACCTGATTGGGATTACAACACTGCCCAAGGTAAGGAAAGGAAAGACTCCTAGTTTATTGCCAGACTTTGTTGTCTGGTCTCCGGGTGGCTGCCCGAAAACCAGCAAACATGTCCAAGATATATGACATTAGACACAGTCCAGCCATGTACTGGAAAGGCTACAGGAGGCTTTCCACAGATACACCCTGTATGATCCTAAGGCAGGCGAATCGGGGACAACTGTAATGTTTGCTTTTATTAACCAAGTAGCACCAGACATTAAAAGAAAACTACAGTCGATAGAGAGATTAGGGGAAAAGTATCTTAGGGATCTAGTTGCAGTGGCAGAAAAGGTCTATAACAGGAGAGAACATGCAGAAAGTAAGGAACTTAAACAGGAAAGGAGACAGGAAGAAAACTTGTTATGGATCCTAGAGCATCAACAAGCCCAGCACCGGGCAGAATTAAAAGAGATCCTTTTGGCCACTGGCCTGAGAAAGCTGCCTAAGAACAACACCTTTTAAACAGGACCCAGACAATAACCATCGGTAAAGAGAGAGCAATGTGCCTATTGCAGAGAAGATGGTCATTGGGTGAGATATTGTCCAAAGAAAACTTTTTAAAAAATGAATGTGCCTATTGTGGAGAGGATGGTCATTGGGCTAAGAATTGCCCAAAGAAAAATCAAACTACTGAAGTCCTCCCAGCTCTCCTTCAAGGGGACAATAGTGATTAGGGGAGACAGGGTTCAGTGCCCCTCCCTGAACCCAGGGTAACCTCAGAAGTGGAGAGGAGAAAAGTTGACTTTATGGTGGACACTGGAGCAGAAGATTCAGTTCTTCTTAGAGCAGAAGGGCCAATGACTAGCAAAACTACCTGGGTGCAAGGAGCTACTGGAACTAAGCCTTATCTATGGACTAACCAACGAACAGTAAATCTGGGAAAGGGCTGGGTAACCCACTCTTTTCTAGTCATACCAGAATACCCTTACCCTCTCTTGGGGTGAGATCTCCTCACCAAAATGAAAGCTCAGATATCCTTCTCTGAACATGGAGCCGAACTCGGGCATGAGGACGGTTCCCTAGTGTAAATCTTTGTAACCAACTAACAGTCTGTCAGAAGAATGCAGGCTGCACCAAGAGAAGAATGCACTCCCTGAGCTAGTAATCTCTGAATGGCTAACTAAATACCCTCGGGCCTGGGCAGATGGGGGCATGACACTGGCTAGACACTGGCCTCCAATTTTGGTAGAGCTAAAGCCAGGAACTGAACCAGCCAATGTCTGCCAATACCCCATGTCCCTAGAAGCTAAACAGGGAATCACTCCCCACATCCATTTCCTTCTAAACCAGGAGGTCTTAAAGCCTATTCTCCAATCTGAACTCTTGGCTGAATTGGATGACCAGGACCTCTTTCAGACTCTCGAAACCTTACAGCTGACTCACAAATGAGTATGGTCCTAGCTTAGGGCTATCTATGAAGCTGCTGCTCCCCCTTAACCCCACAGGTTCTGCCCAGGAGATTGGGTCTTTGTACGAAGACACTACCACGAAACCCTGGAACTGAGATGGAAGGGGCCTTAAGTAGATCTGATGACAACACCAACTGCCTTAAAGGTGAATGGCATTGCCATCTGGATCCACCAGTCCTGTGCCAGACTGACAGATCCCTTAGCCACTCCGGAGGACTACAAGGGGGACACTTGGAAAGCAACCAGACATCCCGTCAACCTGCTCAAGCTTCAATTGCAAAGGACACCCTCGAGTTGATCCTGATCTGCCTGCTGCTGCTATGTCTGCCTTTCCCTGCTGCTACAGCCCACAACCCGCATTTGCCAGTCAACACCACCTGGCTGCTGATCAACAATGGGACCGGAAAACTGGCCAACTCTACCTCGTCCAGCAACTATCCCAAGGACACCTGGTATCCCGACCTGTATGTAGATCTATGCGATTTGGTGGGCAGCGATTGGGACCCCTCGGATCATGAGCCGTTCCCAGGGTATGGCTGTAATTCTCCCGGGTTCCGAGCTAGCACCCGAAGCCTAGAGTTCTATGTCTGTCCTGGACATGACCGCTCCAAGACTCAACAAGCTAAATGTGGGGGCCCCAGGGAAGGGTACTGCGCATCCTGGGGTTGTGAATCCACTGGGTGGATCAACTGGCATCCCCCAATAACGGGGGACCTCATTACCGTCCAGAGGGCGGGAGATTTAAAGACAGTAGGCACGGGAATATGCACTCATGACAACCAACGAGTTGACTGTGGCCCCTGCTATGATAAAGAGCAGTTCCCCTATCATCTTTGGGCCACTGCAGGGGGACGATGCAATATGCTAGTTATCAGCTTTACAGAGGCAGGGAGAAAAGCAGACTGGACAACGGGAAAAACTTGGGGCCTACGCCTTTATAGGACAGGTTACGATCCGGTGCTGCTCTTCACCCTGCACCGTACCTCCAGCCCTATACCAACAACCATAGGACCAAATAAGGTATTAGACCCAATAGCGCCCCCTCCTCAAAGACCTACTCAGCCGCTCCTGACAACCACAGGCTCGCAGGAGCGTTCATTTCCATAACTCCCAATCTCTCTCTACCTATGTCTCCCAGAGTCTCATCAGCCAGGGACAACCTTCTACAAGTTCTCCAGCAGTCATTTTTATTTCTAAATGCCACCAACCCTAACGCTAACAAATCCTGTTGACTAGGCTACACCACTGCCCCACCATACCTTGAAGGAATTGCCCTGCTAGGATCATTCTCAAGCAGTAGGGACCCAGCTTCCTGTAGATGGCGGTCTAAAGCTTCCCTGGCCCTTCAGTTGGTCTCAGGGCAGGGAACTTGTGTGGGCACAGTGCCCCTTAAGTCATCGGCACCTTTGCAATCAAACTACCCCTATTGTAAATGGGACCAACTACCTTATACCCCACGATGACACTTGGTGGGCTTCCTCTACTGACCTGACATCTTGCATCCCCCAACAAGTGCTTATTAGATCTAGCGGCTTCTGTGTCCTCATCAGAGTCCTTCCCCTCCTGAGCTATCATTCTGAGGAACAAAAGAGAGCCTATCACAGCATTAACTCTAAGCCTCCTTCTGGGGGCAGGAATTGCTGCTGGTATATGTACTGGAACCACAGCACTCATACAACAAAGACAATACTCTTCCAGCCTAAGGGAAAGCTTAGACTTTGATCTCAAATGGGCTGAGGATTCTATCACTCATTTACAAGATTCCCTAAGCTTCCTAGAAGAGGTAGCCCTACAGAATCGGAGTGGGCTAGATCTTTTATTCCTACAAGAGGAAGGTCTTTGTGCAGCCCTAGAAGAGAAATGTTGTTTTTTACAGAGACCACTTGGGGAGAATAAAAGACAACATGGCCAAGATCAGAGAAGGACTAGAAAAACGCAGGAGGGAACGAGACGCCAACCAAGTATGGTTTAGGTCCTGGTTTCACAGTTCCCCCTGGATGGCCACCCTGGCGTCTGCTCATATAAGCTCCCTCCTAATACTCCTTGCTTCTGATGCTAGGTATTATTAACAGACTAGTCGAGTTTGTAAACGAGCGCCTGGGTACAATCCAACTAATGGTTCAAAGATCACAAACTTATAAACCCCCACCCCAAACCTCTCCAGAATTTTTCCGAATTGTTGACCAGTAACCCAGGATTGGGTTACTCTTGATACACAGAGAAAATGGGGTGGGGGATAAAAGGCCAGAAACTGCTGCTAGCTCAGTTCCCCTTGCCTAAACCCCCGGTTCTCAGAAAACGGAATCTACCCCCAAGCTATGTCAAAGTCCAGTTGTTAGCTCTTAGTCCTCAGGAGTAAAAGTAACTGCCAGACTGTGGGCACACCTAGAGATAAAGCGATAGAAATTCCTAAATCCCCTCTCAAGATAAGTGACTGGCCAACTTGCAACCCCCATGCCTCTGCTTAACCTTGGTTTACCTTGGCCAACTCTTTGGGATTTTCTCTCCCTCATCTTTGAACTCCTGCCTTTCCTGATAACTAAAACTAAAGGCCTAAGAATTCTGATTGGATACTTAAGTTCTACCTTCTGTTCCCAGTTTAAACATGTCTTAAACAGGTCTCTGCTTCTGGCAGATGCATCTGAACATCAGTTGCTGACTACAGACTGCTCTTAAGGACTGTGAGCCCTGGGCATGCTGTGGACATGAACCAGTCCAGCCGATGTGGATACTTCTTGTCTCTTCAAACGAGCCATTTTTTTTTTTTAATTCCCTGTTGCTCTTGACTGGCATTTCAGCCTTCTTAGGTTCCTAACAATGCCCTGAAGTCAGCAGGAAGTAGCACAGGAAAGAATACATCGCCTCTTTTCCCTGGTTTCCCTCACATGGAGGACAATATGATGCCAGTATCACTCCCCCAGTGAAATCTGTCAGCTAGTAGCTTACAGGGCCTGCTAACATTTGGGCCCTATATTGTTAATTTCCTGCCAGAAACCAAGGGATTGGTTTTGACGAAAAGTCGAAGGGAGAGATGAGAGGGAAAAATTAATAAAAGTCTAAAACTTGAACTCCAAAGCTCAAATAGGAAAATACTTAAGCTTCTCTGAGTTCCCAAAAGGCAGCCCAACAGACAAGGTTAAACATAGGTCCACATGACTCAAGGCCATAGACCAGATATCACAACCTTAAGCTGTGTTGACATTCCTCTAGTCCAAAGAGGATCAGATAGTTATCAATTGTAGAAGTCCCCAGCCCAGGAGATCATTAACAAACTCATTTCCTCTGCAGCATCCTGTTTAATTGCACCTTGCCTGAAGCATACAATCATTGTCCTATCCAGTGTAACCAGGGAAGTTTTGTGATCTTGGGGCTTCCAGCCCTACAATTTTCCCCTATAAAAACACCCTTCAGTCAAAAGTGGGTACTCCATTTTTTCCTGAACGAATGGGGTCCTTGTTTCAGCTGGAATCCTCAAGTCAATAAAGAAACCTTTGTCCTTGTATTCAGTGAGTTGTCTCCTTGGTGGCAGGTTCTTTTGGGGCTCCACAATCCAGGCACAATAGTACAAGGACATCTCTACAACTATGTTCATAAAAGCATTCTTTGTAATAGCCAGAACCTGGAAGCAACCTAGATGTCCCTCAACTGAAGAATGGATAGAGAAGATTTAATGTAAAATTTTTTAAAAAGGGCAGAAAGATAAGAATGGTCCAGTGCATAGACATGGATCATTAGGAAATGGTCTTCTGGAAGGTGGAAGGCAATGTGTGCTTCTGAAGCCAACAAGCTTGGATTTCAAGTATCAGCTGATACTTGGTGATAGTCCTTAGCCTTCTAGATGGAGAGGGAGCTTTAACATAACAACAGAGCAATGGGCCCAGGGAGTGAGTCACTTCCTCCCTCTTCCTCCTTGTGTGGCTGGGCTGAGGCTGGCCTTGGAATGAATTTGTAGTGACCCCTGATGTGTTCTCACCCCCCACAAAGTAACCTTAAAAATATCTTTGTGTCTAACCGGACATGAGTTAAAATCAAAATGACTCTGTCCTAGCCAGTAACATAGGTCACTGTGTGTAGGGGCGGGGGTGCAGCTGGGGAATGATGTTTGTGTTGCCTCACTTACCAAAAGTGCTTCTGGGGGAGAAGAGAAATGTCAAAGAGGCCATCCCAGGAAGAAGGATGAGCTTAGTCCTGGACTAGAGTTTCTTAGCACAGCTACTGAATGAGGTCATGCCATTCCATTGATTGCTAGAGTGGGGCCCATGGGAAATGTGGAACCATGGAAAGGAGCTGGAGTCACACACACACACACACACACACACACACACACACACACACACACACCCAGAGAAACAGAAACAGAGAGAGCAAGGAGGGAGGGAGGGAGAGTGGGTAAGGGAAGGAGGAAGGGAGGGAGGGAGGGGGGCAGAGGGAGGCAGGGAGGAGATGCACATACATGAACACCCCACTATATATGCAAAAGTACAGGGATTCTTTTGCTGTCAGCACCTGACAAGTGCTAGACCTACAGATTAGAAAGGTCACCATGACTGCGGACATTTCTTTGGATGCAGGGGACCAGATGGAAAAGCACCTGCTCCATAATTTCTGTGGTGACAACACTCCTTGGTGACAATGCACAGGTTTGATAATCAGTTGTTGAACATAGTATATGTGGAATAGACATTGAGTATCCTGGAGAAAAAGAAGCCAGAAGAAGAGAGAGCCAGCTCTATTTTGCTAAAAGAGAGATTAAATTTCAACCCCTGGAGGAAAACAAAGAGTGAAAATGAAAAGTGAAAAAGACAAAAAGAAAAAAAAAAAAAAGGCCAAAAAAAACCCACCCTGAACCTAGAGTTTATTCCTGATTCTTTTCACTATCTTTTCGATGTATACCTGTTCTCCAAGCAGTTAAAGAATGACAGATGTCCAAACCCTCTTGGATGCTGCCCGGAGCATCTGGGCATCAATCTGACCTTTCTTTCTGGATAGAGTTGGGATGGGGAAAGGAAAGCCTCACCCTCCACCTTGTGTCTGATCCAACACAGCTGCATTTTCTCATTCCTGAGAACCAAACGAGTTTCCTGAGCCCTGGGTTGATATACTGTACTATCTTCAGTGCAGCTGTAACTTTAACAAGGGAAAGCCGGCTTGAACCTCTCTAATCCTTACTCCAGACACCTTGAGCTCTTGAGACTGCTGTATGCATGCATGTGCATTTAAGGGTTTCTGTTAGCTGTGCCTCTGAGAATGTGGCTCAGTCCAAAGTTAGGGTTTTTTTTTTAATTTTTTTTTTTGGGGGGGGGAAGGCTTTGACTAACATCTGCCTTTCTGCCTTATTCTGACCGGTAGATTTGTGGCTTTAACATTTACAAAAGCAAAATCGATGTTGTTATCCTCTGTTCACCTATTTATGTCATAATCTTCCTGTTTCCTCTTCTGGGGTCAAGTGATGGATGCTATTTCCTCTCTTCTCCATGAACCATAGAAGAACTAATCCAGAATTAAAAGTATGAGAGGCATGGGGGTAATGACTTGAAAATCCATTGCAGCTAGTTTCAGAATTGCACAACCAATTTGGGTTTTTTTTTCAAGACTTATATTTTGGGAGGCAACTGTTTTATGAATGAACATAAGCCTGATACACGGAATGCGTAGGATTGGTCTGAGAGCCTTGTCTGGGTCAACTGTCACATCTGGCTCTTATGAATCTGGCGCATTGTGACTCATGGATACACAAATAGTAATCCTTGATAGTGACCACTTGTGACTCCACAAACAATGTCAAATGCCAGAGAACGGCTATGGCTGCTTGGCTGAGCTGCTCATGTTCTTGCTGCCCCTGACATTGGGTGGGTAGTTATGGAAGCTCTCTACTGTTCTCAGGAAGCCAAGGTCCTGGCCTCTCATCTCTGGGACCTTAAGCAGCCTGGCCCTGGCATTTTTTAGCCTGATAAATCGCTCTGCACTGTCCTCTCAGAAGTGCCAATGGATGACATGAGACTATATTGGTAGATGGTCTGTTTTTTTTTTTTTTTTTTTTTTTTTTTTTTCATACTCCACTGGAAATGTGACAAGTTATTTAACTTCTCTGGGTCCCAATTCCCTCACCTAGTAAAGACAAAGTGTAACTTAGAGATATTAAAATAGAGAGCTAAAATTTCCCAAGACCTAGGCACTGCAATAAGTGGGATGCTAGAATTGTTTCTGTTAAAATCTTTTTTTTTTTTTTTTTGGTTTTTCGAGACAGGGTTTCTCTGTGTAGCTTTGGAGCCTATCCTGGCACTGGCTCTGGAGACCGGGCTGGCTTCAAACTCACAGAGATCTGCCTGCCTCTGCCTCCCGAGTGCTGGGATTAAAGGCATGTGCCACCAACGCCCAGCTTCTGTTAAAATCTTAACAATATAACTTGGATAGTCTGTTTGCTAGTGAAGAAACTGACACACAGAACATTGGCAGTAATGGCTCGGATCAGGATTCTTTTTTTTTAATTTTATTTATTTTAGAAAAAATTTTATTATGCATTTCAATCCCAGTTCCCTCTCCCTTCCATCCTCTCATGCCCCCCACCAACCTCCCCATCTTACCCCCCATCCACTCCCCAGGGAGGGTGAGGCCTTCCATGGGGGATCATCAAAATCTGTCAAATCATTTGTGGGGAGAGCCTAGGCCCTCCTCTGTGTATCTGTGCTGAGAAAGTATCCCTCCATGGGGAATGGGCTCCCAAAGTTCATTTGTGCACTAGGAATAAATACTGGTTCCACTGTCAAAGGTCCCACAGACTACCCAGGCCTCCTAACTGGCACACACATTCAGAGGAGTTGGTTCAGTCCAATGCTGGATCCCCAGCTTTATGACTGGGGTCCATGTGCCCTCTCTTGTTCAGGTAAGCTGTTTCTGTGGATTTCTCTAGCCTGATCTTGACTCTTTTGCTCATCCATCCTCCCTCTCTACAACTGGATTCCAGGAGTAAGGCTCCTGTGGATGTCTGCTTATACTTCCATCAGCTACTGGATGAAGGCTTTAGGGTAGCATATAAGGTAGTCATCATTCTCAATATAGGGAAGGGAATTTAAGTTAGCCTCTCCACTATTGCTTAGATTCTTAGTTGCGGTCATCCTTGTGGATCTCTGGGCTTTTCCCTAGTGCCAGATTTCTCTTTAAACTTATAATGGCTCCCTCTATTAAGATATCTCTTTTCATGCTCTCCTTCTCTATTCTTCCCTCAACTCGATCATCCTGATCCCTCATGTTCTCCACCCCCTCCTCTTCTCCCCTTCTCTGTTTCCTATCCCCCTCCCAATTTGTTCAGGAGCTCTTGTCCCTTTTCCCTTTTTCAGGGAACCATGTATGTCTTTCTTAGGGTCCTCCTTGTTTCCTAGCTTCTCTGGTGGTGTAATCTATGCACCAAATACAAAGGCATCCACATACGTAAAAGAATCAGAATTTCTTGATCCCTTTTATGGAGCATCAGTTTCCAACTAAGGGCACTGTTGCATCCAAAAGGACACTTAGTAATGTCTGGGGACATTTCTGCTCATCACCCAGATAAGAGAAGAATGTGACTGGTCTTTTTGAGGCTGAGGGCAAGGATGCTGATTCACACTATAGTGCTGGATCATCAGACAAATAGGAATTACCCAGCCACAGATGTCCAAAATACTGAAGCAGAGAAAGGCCAGCTCAGATCCTATTCTTACTACCACGCTAACTCACCAGACAGCACCACCAGGGATGATGGTGGAAAGCATAAATTTTGGTGACACATGGAGGGACCAAAGCATGATGTAGAACAGTTGTATGTGCTTAGTAATGTCAGTTTTCTGTTGTTTGTATCAGCTGCTCCCCTCAGCCTCCCTTTTCTATTATCAGTGGTGTTTTAAAGGTTGCATGCACATTTTGTCAGAAAGCCCTGTGAGCATAGTGTGAGCATAACCCTAGCTGCATTATGCACTATTAATGCTTGTATTCATATGTGGGTTTTATGGCTCAGACTTCCACTGGGGTCTGTCCTTGGCCTCCCCCTGGAGCTACAGCCCAGTAACTTTGTTAGGAAGATGGACTTCTTCTTCCATGTAGTACCTGAAAATATTTGGGTAGGCAGTGCTTGATCAGCAGTTCTCCAAGGTCCAGTGACAGAGAACTCATAGGTTTACATGAGAATGTGTTGTGTCAGTTATCCCAAAGTTAGGAAATTAGTCTCCTAAACGAACACTTTAGGAGGCTATACTATCTGTTATATGTCTCATTTCTATGGGATTATAGAATATCTCAAAAACACTCCTCTTTCCTAGCAACTGAATAAGCCAAGAGGTAGTAAGCTTTGAAGGACGGAAGCAGATACTGAACACTACAGAGTAACTGGGGAAACCTTGACTTGGTTTTGCTTTCTTCTGTGACTCTTTTCAGTAGTAGGAGCAGTCTTGAGCCCCAAGTTGTATCTGAAATTGCATAGAACTGCCCAAGGGCCTGGTGCTAAGGT